TCTACCCATCTGATAAAGGGCTGATATCCAGAATTTACAAAGAACTAAAACAGATCTACAAGAAAAAAACAAACGAGCCCATTCAAAAGTGGGTGAAGGATATGAACAGACACTTTACAAAAGAAGACATATATGAGGCCAACAAACATATGAAAAAATGCTCATCATCACTGGTCATTAGAGAAATGCAAATCAAAACTACATTGAGATACTATCTCACACCAGTTCGAATGGCGATCATTAAAAAATCTGGAGACAACATGCTGGAGAAGATGTGGAGAAATAGGAACACTTTTACACTGTTGGTGGGAGTGTAAATTAGTTCAATCATTGTGGAAGACAGTGTGGCAATTCCTCAAGGACCTAGAAATAGAAATTCCATTTGACTCAGCAATCCCATTACTGGGTACATATCCAAAGGATTATAAATCGTTCTACTATAAGGACACATGCACATGAATGTTCATTACAGCACTGATTACAATAGCAAAGACCTGGAACCAACCCAAATGCCCATCGATGATAGGCTGGACAGGGAAAATGTGGCACATATACACCATGGAATACTATGTAGCCATCAAAAACGATGAGTTCATGTCCTTTGTAGGGACATGGATGAACCTGGAAATCACCATTCTCAGCAAACTGACACAAGAACAGAAAATCAAACACTGCACGTTTTCACTCATAGGTGGGTGTTGAACAATGAGAACACATGGACACAGGGAGGGGAGGATCAAACACTGGAGGCTGTTGGGGGGGGAAGGGGAGGGACAGCGGGGGGTGGGGAATTAGGGAGAGATGGCATGGGGAGAAATGCCAGATACAGGTGATAGGGAGGAAGGCAGCACATCACACTGCCATGTGTGTACCTATGCAACAATCTTGAATGTTCTTCACATGTACCTCAAAACCCAAAATGCAATAAAATAAAATAAAAACAAAAACAAAAAATAATAAGTATACTGTCTTATTGAATAGTTTTTGCCTGGATTCTACTTTGTTTATCAAAATGGAAACTTCTGATTTCTTTATTCCATTTGCCTGTAATAACTGTACATATTCCTTTATTTTTGATGGTTGGAGTAACTGTTTTATATGTCTCTTACATAAGGTATAGAATTGGGTTTTGCTTTATGAAGCCACTTGAACATCTTTTTCTTTTAATAGATGAGTTATGCCCACTTGTTTATTAATATGATTGACATATTTGAACCCAACTCTATATTATAATTACCATGTTTGTTAGTCACACTTATTCTTTTTTTTCCTTTATTTGGTAGTTCTGCTATTTTTGCTTTTTTGTACTTCCTTTGGTACTTAGAAAAATTTTAATGTTTTGTTCCAGTGGTTCTCTCTGTCTCTCTCTCTCTCTCTCTCTCTCTCTCTCTCTCTGGTGGTGGTGGTGGTGGTGGTGGGGTGTGTTTTAGAGTATCCCGAATCTCCTTTTTGCTTATTTTACCTTCTATTATCTGGTCATTCCATTTAAATGGTATTGTATCACTCTCACTTATTACCCTATATTGCAGAGAATGATCTTATTCTATTCTTCTCTGTTCACCCACTTAATTTTATTTTTTTTCTTTTAACTTTGTCAGAACATAAAAAATTTACACCATATCCCCAATTCTGTTTTAAGTCTTGGATTTATATTTAAATATATTAAATTCTCACCATATTTCCTAAATTCTTATGTGTTTATCTGATTCTCTAAAGACAGGTTGGCTACTTGTGCTTTGTTTCTTTGAGTTTTTGAAAACAGGGCTCTACTGTAGCCTTCCTTTGAATACTTTTCTTGGCCAGGCACAATGAGTCATGCCCATAATCCCAGCACTTTGAAAGGCCAAGGCAGGTGGATCACTTGAGGCCAGGAGTTTGAGACCAGCCTGGCCAACATGGAGATCCTATCTCTGCTAAAAATACAAAAATTAGCTGGGTGTGGTGGTGCATGCCTATAATCCCAGCCACAGGAGGCTAACGAACGAGAATCACTTGAACTCAGGAGGTAGAGGTTGCAGTGAGCTGAGATCATGCTACTGCACTCCAGCCTGGGTAACAGAGTGAGACTAAAAAACAACAACAAAAAATTATTGTTCTTAAGGGATTTGATGTAAGCCTGACTTTCTTTATTAATAATACAATATTTTTTCCCCTGTCAAGAGGCCCAGAAAAAAAGTCTTTGAAACATAATAGTTTTATTAGGCTGTCACTCAAAACTATTCTATATTAATCTGTCAGTGATAAGGCCTTTTAATATGTAAAATTTCAATTTTCCTATTATTTCTGAAAAATGTTCTTGAGTTATGGTTTAATTAGTTCTGTTCTAGTGATTTGCTCTTCTTCCTCAGGAACTCCAATTATAAGTATGTTAGGTCTTCTTTTGCCTTTATTGAATTTAAGCTACTTTTTACATTCTCTTGGTTGTTTTCCTTTCTTTTATCAGTGGCCTGTATTACATTTTTATTTGAATCTATTCTCCTATAAGCACCCTGTAATTAATATACAGTAGTCCCCCACATCTGTGGGGGATACATTCCAAAACCTCCACTGGATGCCTGAAACCTTAAATAGTATTGAACCCTACATAGAATGTTTTTGCCATATATATATATATATATACACACACACACACACACACACACATACATACATATATATATATACACATATATATATACACACACACACACATATATATACACATATATATATATATACACACACACACACACACACACACACACACACTTATGACAAAGATTACTTTATAAATTAGGCACAATAAGAGATTAACAACTACTAATAAAATTCAACAATTATAACAAGATGCTAGCATCACTACTTTTGCACTTTAGAGCCATTATTAAGTAAAATAAAGGTTACTTGAACACAAGCATTTCAATACCACCACAGCTGATCTGATAACCGAGACCACTACTAAATGACTAATGGGCCAGTGGCATATACAGTTGCATATCCTAGACAAAGGAAAGGAGTAACTCCCATCCTGGGCAGGATACAACAGGATGGCTGGAGACTTCATCACACCAATCAGAAAAGCACCCAATTTAAAACTTATAAGTGTGGCTGGATGCAGTGGCTCACGCCTGTAATCCCAGTACTTTGGGAGGCTGAGGCAGGAGGATAACCTGAGATCAGGGGTTTGAGACCAGCGTGGCCAACATGGCAAAACCCTGTCTTTACTAAAAATACAAAAATTTGCTGGGCATGTTGGCGTACACCTATAGTCTCAGCAACTCAGGAGGCTGAAGCACGAGAATCACTTGAACCGTGAGGCAGAGGTTGTGCTGAGATGAGATTGTGCCACTGCACTCCAGCCCGGGCGACAAAGAGACTCTGTCTCAAACAACAACAACAACGACAACAAACTACTTATAATTGCTTATTTCTGGAACATTCCAATTAATATTTTTGGACTCTGGTTGACTGTGGCAAACAAACTGCAGAAAGCAAGACCACAGCTATAAAGGGGGGTTACTGTAGTCTTCTGAGATGGCTTTGCCTTTCTCTTCAATTTCTTTCCTGAGTTCAATTAAATTCTGTTGCATTTCTTCCTTTTTCTCTCTCTTTTTTTTTTCCCCCATCTCAGAGTTTGGATTTCTGCTTCTTCTAAGTCTGTGGTTTTTGTAGTATGTTCACAGATTTGTTTGAGAATATTTTATTTGGTTGGAGCACTGAGATGCACTTCCCCTTTGTATTTGCTTTTTGGGGAAGAAGTTTTATCAACAGAAACACTTTCATTTAAATTTCTGTATTCCTCTTAAAGTAGCTTTGTATAGCATTTAATTCATTTCTATTCTTGAGCATTTTGTGAATAGGGTTCTTGGGTATTTAGTTTGAGAGCATTCACTTCTGCAGCTTAGTAAAGAGAAGTGCCTACAACGAATGTGTTATGGTGGAGCTGTTGAGTGAGGGGATGGGTTGCCATGCCTTATTTCTCTTTTATTTCTCTAGCAGCCTCAATTTTCTCCTCACGTCCTTCTTTGCCCTTGCTGCCATGCTTCCAAGAGGTATCACCTTTTCTCTGTCTCTTCTTCTAGAAGCAATACTACTCTGAAGCTGCTACTTCTGGTCCCTCCCACTTTCATACAGCTTCCTGCAGGTAGTTATATAAATTACCAAGACCTAGGCTGGTCTTTGTATTTGGCAATGTTGGGGATTTTTTCTCAGGGTGATTTTGCCTGTGCTTTATTTTAACCTCTGTTCCCTCTCCTCTTTTCTTGGTCTTTTAAGCCTCTCCTTACTCAACTTTTCCCACTCACAGGTTTGTAGCAGCAAAATGAACCACTGTAATGTGCTATTTTCTTAACATAAAGGAAATTTAAAAATTCATGGTATCATCTGTCTTGTAGTAGTGCTGCAAGTGTGAGTTTTGTATGGTTTGTGTGTGTATATGTGTGTGTGTATGTGTGTGGAGTCCTTTTGTTCTAGCAGCTTTTGGGGAGGACATGTAGAGAGATTTAGATTTGGAAAGTTGCCATTATTTTCTAGACCCAGAAGCTCATCTCATTTAAGTATAAACTTAAAAGGCTATTATTCTCCCAACTTTACAAATGAGTAAGCCGAGTCTTAGTGAAACTAAATAATTTGTTTTAAAGCACATAGCTACTAGTAATGTGAGAACCAAGATTCCAACCAAAGTTTGAGTTCAAAGTTCGTTCAAGCTCTACTAGAGAATACAATCTATACTCTAAAATAGAAAAAGTGTATTTTTAGCTCTCATTTAGCTCTCGTCTCCTAAGAAATAGAGGTTCCTTAGTTGTGTTCAACCACAAATAGTCATGAGACATCTTAGCTTCCTGGAAAAAAAAACCTGAACAAAATAGAACACACACCTATTTTTCCATCTTATTCTCTATCACAGTGAATGGAAAGCTGACAGTATTTAGGTGATTACCCAAGGCAGGAACCTAGGAGTCATCCAGGATGTTACCTCCTCAAGTACTTCTTACAACTGGACACTATGTACTGTTTATTCCATCTCCTAAATCACTCTCAAATTCATCCCTTGCTTATCAGGCCTACAGTCATTGTCTGAGTTCACACTAAACATTTCTTCCTTGTATTATTTCAGAAGCCTCCTAGGTAAACTCAATATCACCAGTTCAACTCCAGAACACTCTCACCACCATTACCCAATGCCTACTCACAAGCATGTATATATGTATGTTCATGCACATACATTCAGATTCCCTTCATTTACTCTCTCCTCCTTAAAACCCCAATCCATCTTTTACTGAGCTGCCAAAGAACCTTTCTAAAATAACAAATTGTGTTATTCTCATACTCCAATTTTTTTATGGCTCCTCACTGCTTCCCAGATAAACTGTGAGCTCCTATGAATGGGTTTCTGAGTTCTTCATGATCTCTCCCTTGAATGATGTCACATACTGATGCCACTTTAGGTATATATTCATCTAACATTTGAGTGTCTACCAAGAACCAGGCACTATGGTAGGCTCTGGGATATGTAAAATAATGTGAATCGCCCCTGTGTTTGTCAACAAGGACAGTTGCCAGAATGCGTTGTGCTGGGTCTTACTTCTGTACCCTGAATATGCTGTTCTTTCTATCTGAGATTGCTTTTAACTATTTTCTACATTTAGCTAACTTTTATATTTACTTCTTCAGGAAAGCCTTTCATCACCTTCTATGATTTCACTGAATTAACTCTCCGCATCTCTGTCAGTATTTTTCTTAACCGTATTCTATTTAGTCTTCTCCCCTTTTATAAGATTCTTAGATGCAAGTGTTATGTCCTCACATACCTTGAGAACTCAAAAGATAAGAGCAACTATTGTAGTCAGGTGCGGTGCTCACACCTGTAATCCCAGCATTTAGGAAGGCTGAGGTGGGCAGATCACCTGAGGTCAGGAGTTTGAGACTAGCCTGGCCAACATGGGGAAACCCCATCTCTACTAAAAATACAAAAATTAGCCAGGCATGGTGGCACATACCTGTAATCCCAGCTACTTGGGAAGCTGAGGCAAGAGAATGGCTTGAACCCAGGAGGCAGAGGCTACAGTGAGCCGCGATCTTGCCACTGTACCTGCACTCCAGCCTAGGTGACAAAACAAGAGTCCATCTCAGAATAAGAGATAACTAAGTCATTATCCTAATTACAACTATGAGGAAGAATAGTCTTTATTGGAATCAAAAGAAGAATGCAAATTCTTCTTGATTGGAAAATCATTCTAAGGTTCATTCTCCACTATGCCAATGCTTGAATGGATCTCATGAGTAGGAATAAACTTGCAATAGATATTTATGTATAAAAAGCTACACTTCCAGCCTTGCCAACATAGTGAAACCCCATCTCTACAAAAAATATAAAAATTAGCCAGGTGTGGTGGCGTGTGTCTGTAATCCCAGCTACTTGGGAGACTGGGGCAGGAGAATCACTTGAACCCGGGAGGTGGAGGTTGCAGCGAGCAGAGATTGTACACTGCACTTCAGTCTGGGCAATAGAGACTCCATCTCAAAAAAACAAAAACAAAAACAAAAAGACCTACACTTACACCAAGAGTCAGAGGGAGTTTCTATGTATAAGATTTCTTTCTAAAGGTCCGTTTCTGAGAACTATTTATATCCATATTATACTTTGCAACATACATCTGTACAGAGAAAGTCTTAAGGACCACTTCCCTCATGTAGCCATGCTGCTACAACTTTACTCTGTCAGGGTCCAGGGCATGCCTATGGTTCAAATCTGACCACACCTGACTTAAAGAGGAAGGAAGTCACAGAGCAAGGGAAATTAGGAATGGTGGAGTGTTGGTATTCTATGGTAGAAATCAGGAGGGATTAGAAATAAGTAGAAAATGTAAGCAAAGGGGAAGGAGATACGAGAGACAAGGAAGATAGGAAAGAAAGAGGTAGAAAATTAAGGAAAATGCAGTCATTCATTCTTAAGGTTTATTGTAAACATACTATCTGGGAACTATGAATGTATTTCTCATAGAATTAATGCTATAAATGGTAACTAAATTCCAGATCAGTCCTACTTGAACTATTAAATATATAATGTATTAATGGACTGTTGCCATCAAATCATCCTTTATGTTTTCTTAAAAAAAAAACATATTCTAAGTTATAATTTAGATAATCAAGCATTTATCTCTTCATTAGGGTAGAGACTATATCCCATAAGTATTTACAATTTTTTTTAACAGTAGCTAGGACTGGGTAGGTATTGGTGATAAGGACTCTTTCTTATTCCCTGTAGTTAACGTACTTACAGTAGAGGCATCAGGCTTTTTCTGAATTAAAAGTCATAAGGCAGCTTGGGACCTGTGTACTGTAGACTTCGACCTTTCCTGTATATGTCATGCAAAAGCTGTTATACATTACTAAGAAGAGGCCAGGTATCTTGGTGTTTTGGTAATTATTTTTAATTACCCCCAAAAAACTAAATTAGACTCACCCAAACTAAGAATTTTTCACTTTAATGCTTCATATGAAATATATACTGAATTAAAATCCATTTCACAGAAATACAGAGTTGTACAGAAATACAAAGTTTCAGCTATTGAAGTACAATTTCTTTGCTTGACAATCTCATTAAAATTACTCCAATACAGTAATACCTTAGTTATTGCAATGTAATATGTGAATAATTAAGATATCCCAAAGCTAACTGTCCAGTTCAAAGCACAGAGCACTTTCTAAAGTATTTAACACTTCCCTTAGTAAACAGAATAGGGTGAATGTAATTTTACATCTTCAAGCCACTACCTTAATTTATTATGAAAGGGAGCTTTGTTGTGGAAACTGTATATACAGCTTATATTGAAAGGTTTTTGACCATAGAATAGACAGTAAACATTGTCTCTGTCTCTATTGTCAACTTTGTCTACTGCTAATCTGTACCACTCTTAGATGAATATAAGAAACTACACAGTTTAATGTGACCTGAATGGAGCTACGTAAAGTTAATTGCTATATCAAAGTCTTTTCAAAATAGTCTTTTCTCAAATTACCATAAGTAAAACCATTTTCTATGGTGGCTAAGTTTTTTGCATACTCTCCATGCCTACGACATTCAACACATTTATCTCCTATTCTACATTACAAATGTAACTTAACTATCAATTTGCTCATTAAAACATTTGCGTCCTTATCTACTATTTTTTATTCCTATTGTATAAGTAATATGTGAAACAGTCTTTACAGCATCTATTAACTAGACTAGTATAAGTTGTGGCGCCTACACATCCTTTATTATTGCAAGACAATGGCAGACGTTCTTCACACCTATCACTAAACCCTGCTTGACTTTAACAAAACTGGTTGCATGCTTTTTATGACATTGAAGATCCTGAAGAGTGCCTGAATATTTAAAAAGATGTATTAGAGTCACCTGGTAGAGAAATACATAATAATTTAAATGTGACTTTCATAATTTTTTTCTTTTTTTTTTTTTTTTGAGACATGGTCTTGCTCTGTTGCTCGGGCTGGAGTGCAGTGGTGTGATCTCAGCTCATTGCAACCTCCACCTCCCAGGTTCAAGTGATTCTCCTTCCTCAGCCTCCAGAGTAGCCAGGACTACAGGCCCGCATCACCATGCCTGGCTAACTTTTCTATTTATCTTTAGTAGAGACGGGGTTTCACTGTATTAGCTAGGATGGTCTTGAACCCCTGACCTCAAGTGATTCGCCTGCTTCAGCCTCCCAAAGTGCTGGAATTACAGGTGTGTGCCAACGTGCCTGGCCATCTTTCACTATTTTTTAAAAACGGGTTAGGACTGGAAGAAATTATTTATAATGCATATAGCCATTCAATACCTTCTTCAAGAAAAAAAAAAAAAAAAAAGCCCGGTATAAGCAGAACAAAAAGTAGGAGAAACGCTATTATAAAATGTGGGCAAAGCGGGAGAGGTCAAAATGGCAGAATAAGAACAGCTCCAATCGGCAGCTCCCAGTGAGCCCAATGTAGAAGGCGGGTGATTTCTGCATTTCCATCTGAGGTACCCAGTTCATCTCATTGGGACTGGTTAGGCAGTGGGTGCAACCCACGGAGAGCGAGCAGAAGGAAGGTGGGGCATTGCTTCACCTGGAAAGCGCAAGGAACCAGGAGATCTCCCACCTCCAGCCAAGGGAAGCCATGAGGCACTGTGCTACCCAGTGGGGCTACGATGCTTTTCCCATGGTTTTTGAAATCTGCAGATCAGGAGAGTCCCTTGTGTGCCTACACCACCAGGGACCTGGGTTTCAAAGACAAAAGTGGGTAGCTGTTTGGGCAGACACTGAGCTAGCTGCAGGAGTTTTTTTTCATACCCAGTGGTGCCTGGAACACCAGTGAGACAGAACCGTTCACTCCTCTGCAAAGAGGGCTGAAGCCAGGGAGCTGAATGGTCTTGCTTAGCTAGTCCCATTCTCAGGGGGCCCAGAAAGCTAAGAACCACTGGCTTGAAATTCTCACTGCCAGCCAGCAGTCTGAAGTCGACCTGGGATGATGGAGCTTGGTGGGTGGAGGGGCGTCCATCATTATGGAGGCTTTATTAGGCGGTTTTCCCCTGAGAGTGCTAGGAGGCTGGGAGGTTTGGACCGGGCAGAATTCACCAAAGCAGGGCAAAGCGGCTGTGGCCAGACTGCTTCTCTAGACTCCTCTTCACTGAGCAAGGCATATCTGAAGACAAGGCAGCAGCCCGTCAGGGGCTTATAGATAAAACTCTCATCTCCCTGGGACACATCAGCTGGGATAAAGGGCAGCTGTGGGCATGGTTTCGGCAGATTTAATTTTTCCTGTCAGCTCTGAAGACAGTAGCTGATGCTGACAAGGGTGATTCTCCCAGCACAGTGTACCAGCTCTGCTAAGTCACAGACAACCTCCTCAAGTGGGTCCCTAACCCCTGTGCCTCCTGACTGGGAGAGACCTCCCAAAAGGAGTCAATAGACACCTCATACCTGGCATCAGGCCAGTGCCCCTCTGGGACAAAGCTTCCAGAGGAAGGAGCAGGCAGCAATCTTTGCTGTTCTGCAGCCTCCACTGGTGTTACCCAGGTGAACAGGGTCTGCAGTGGACCTCCAGCAAACTGCAGCAGATCTCCAGAAGAGGGGCCTAACTGATAGAAGAAAAACTATCAAACAGAAAGCAACAAGATGAACATCAATGAAAAAGACCACCACACAAAAAACCTATCCAAAGGTCATCAGCCTCAAAGATCAAAGGTAGATAAATGATGATGAGAAAAAAGCAGTGTAAAACACTGAAAATTCCAAAAACCAGAATGCCTCTTCTCCTCCAAATGATTGCAACTCTTTTCCAGAAAGTTCACAAAACTGGACAGGGAATGAGATTGATGAATTGACAGAAGTAGGCTTCAGAAGGTGGGTAATAACAAACTCTCCTGAGCTAAAGAAGCATGTTCTAACCCAATCCAAGGAGGCTGAGAACCGTGGTAAAAGGTTACAGGAACTGTTAACTAGAATAACCAGTTTAGAGAGGAACATAAATGACCTAATGGAGCAGAAAAGCACAGCATGAGAACTTCGTGGAGCATACACAAGAATCAACAGCTGAATTGATAAAGCAGAAGAAAGGATATCAGAGATTGAAGATCAACTTACTGAAATAAGGCATGAAGACAAGATGAGAGGAAAAAGAATGAAATGGAATGAACAAAGCCTCCAAAAAAATATGGGACTATGTGGAAAGTCCAAACCTACAAGTGATTGATGTACCTGAAAGTGATGGGGAGAATGGAACCAAGTTGGAAAACACACTTCAGGATATTGTCCAGGGGAACTTCCCCAACCTAGCAACACAGGCTAGCATTCAAATTCAAGAAATACAGAGAACACCACAAAGATATTCCTTGAGAAGGGCAACCCCAAGACACATAATCATCAGATTCTCCACTGTTGAAAAAAAAAAAAAAAATGTTAAGGGCA